GAAAACTCGGCTTGGGCTTCTTGAAGCTGGAAGAGCCTCCACTCCCAGTCCTTTTTCTTGCAAGCTCATAAGATAGGCTCAAACCACACTAGCCACTTAAAAGTCTAGACTTTAACAACCTAGGCTCTGATACCAACTGTAACACCCCCTAATTTCCATGCTAAATTAAGTCTTAGACATGCAGATAACTAATCATAACATTATGCACAGCAGAAGACTAAACAAGGGTTATATAAATAGGAAATAAAGGGTGCTATGCCACGCCCACCCAAAGGTGAACGCACAAGCGAAACATCTGCATAATCCACAATCTAAATCCATACAGAAACAAGGGTACTAATGTCTAGCATTGGCACACAGGCCACAACAGATCAAAACAAAAGGGATCTAAGCTAACAGGTTCTAGACCGCACTCTCGTCTACTCATCACCTGAAAGAAACACATAAAATAAGGGACGACGCACGGTCAGCGAATGATGCTAGTAACCTACCAATACATGTGAAATATCATATGTAGATAGTTTATATGTATACAAAATCATTTGCGAAACGGGATATAGTATACATCAATTTCAAAAGTCAAGATAGAGATCAACACAAGACTCTATGCACTCACAATAGAGATAATGGAACACATCCCAAGACAACAAGAATACAACGACACTCAAGAACGGCTTAAGGCGTAATCTACCATCACACAGTAGATTATCACCCGACATGCATAACACAAGAGAATAAGGACACAACCAATGGCAACACATTGTCTTTGCGACTACACACGTCACAAATAGAGAAACATACAACAACGGCTACACAAGCCTTCGTAACATCACCCATCAAGAATTGAGATGCCTTCCTTATGACCGGTTCTAACCTTATGGCTACTCCCAACCTTATGTCTAGTTCCAACCATTACCTCTAGGACCCCTGTACATCCAAGTCCAATGTATTCCCTCCTGGGACCTTCGTCTCCCACCAACAAACCACCAACAAGACCACCAATTTCATAGTACACAAGGTACTAATCACACACACGGCAACACATGCCACCCAAGAAATACGTGAACCCATCACTCAGGTCACAAACTCCATAATCGCGTCATGGCCACCACGAGGACCACTGCCGTACCTTGGTGACTAATGTCCCATACCATTAATCGTACAATCCAGGTACAGCCACACACACCACACCATCACAGGAATCAATCAACGGATCACAACGAAGATATGAAACCATACTCAATCAAGGAATGGATCACAGTCCAACAACAACGATGATTAACACGAGTCATCATCAATAATAGGAAGGTACAAACAACACACATGCTACCATTTAAACACCAAACTAGCATGCTTATCAAACGGGTAAACCGAATATAGTTCCGAAGAACACACAAGAATCATCACGGTTCAGCGAATCACAATGTTGAACACTTAGCACGATTCAAGACACCAAAACCTACATGGATTCCTACCATATAGTTCTAGACATACGAAACATCAAGAAGACGCTCAAATAGTTCCACAAAAGAACATCGGGAAGTCAAAAGACTAAATACCGAGTCAAAAGAATCATGGGGAACAAATCCCCAAACATGCCAACATATGTTCCCCGCGGGTGGACCCACGGGTAGACCCCCACCCGTGGTTCCGCCCGCGGGTACACACTCACAAGCCACCTGTACCCCGCGAGTGGGGCGACGGGTAGGCCACTGCCAGCCGTTCCGCCCGCGGGTACACTCCTGTACACCAAAATAATCCCTTCGGGGATTTTCAACACCAAGCTAAAATTCAAGTCCAAAACATGCCAAATCTCACCAAATACAACAAAATGACTTGAATCAAAGGAATAGCCAAGCAATGGCATACAAGAACCCTAAACACATGCTCTAGATATGTATTTTCACAAGACAATGCATCAACACTCACATTTCATAGCAAAATACATGTAGAATCCAAGAAATCATCATATAGGTAAGCAAAATAGATTTTGTAGAGCATGGGTTACATCTTGTAGACTTATCCTTCACTTACAACACTCCACAAAGCACCCAACAAGGTTCCCTTTCCACACCCACTTCAAGAACACACCAAAACAACATAAAGATTTCACCTTTATAAAAAGATACCTTAGAAAACACTAGAAACACAAGAGAAGCTTAGATCTTATCCTCCTAGATGCTCAAAGGTAAGAAAGGTAGAATCTTGAAAGCAAACTTGAAAGATCTTGGTAGCCCTAGGTGTGGCTTGGAAAGAAAGCTAACTAGCTTTTAGAGAGAAGATAGAGAACTTATGATTTTTCTCTTGGAGAGTGTTTGAAGAAATGAAATGTGTCTTCCTAGGTTAGCTTGAAAGACTATTGCCAATGAAATGTCTCATTTGCTCTTACTAAAATGAAATGTGTAAGGAAACAAGGGAACAACTATCAAAGCTTAAGGTACAACTTTTGACTTTGGGTTGACTAGCCAATTACTAGTCCCTAACTATTGAATTTTCAGGAATTTAAGGAATTAAACTATCAATTGGGTTAGGATTAATTACTTAATTAATCCCTTCATCAAATTTGGATTACGGGGTGTCACATCCTCTCCCCCTTCAAAGAAGCTTCGTCCCCGAAGCTTGGGTACGACGAATTAGATCAAACGGTGAAACGAAACCACAACGTGACAAGAGTGTCAAGAACATCCTTATTTGGTCAAAACACAAAGGATTCAAAAGGTATCAACATAAGCAAGAGGTCATGACATTCAAGAGTTGGAAAGAAATAATCAACGGAGATATTGAGCATATCAAACTCTAAACCAAACACAACAAACCAACTTCTAACCAACCACCAAAGTCTAAGCCTCTAACTTCTAGCACAAACCTCTAAACCAACAAACCAAGCAAGCAAGCAAGCAAAACAAACACACAAAGCAAACCACTACAACTAGCAACGATTACAACAACCGAAAAGGTAACACAAGCTACGGGAGAAAAAGGGTGAACGGGGTTACCACAACACCAAACTAGAACAACTCACTCTCAGACTCCTCGGTGGCTTTATTGGACTCTTCATCGGCTCTTCCTCGGCTAGAACTGGCTTCAATCTGATCCAGCCTCTGGTAAATGGCAACAAACTGCGTCTTCATAAAAGCGAAGCCTTCTTCGATCATCCGATTCTGCTGACGTAGCAAGGTGACCACACGCTCCTCGTGCGTCATAGCATCGTGCTCTCTTTTGGTTCGGGATTCTTTCTTTCTTCGATTCTCTTCACTCTCGGAGTCACTTTCCTCGGTTTCAGCAGCTTTAGGCGCTTCCACATCCTCTTCTTGGTCTGCTTCATCCTCATCTTCTACATCACCTCCCAAGCTCTGGACTGCGAGGTTCAACTTTCCAGCATGAATCTCGAGCTCAACTGCCAACTTGGTTCTTTCTTCGGGGGATTTTCTTGCAACTTCTTCAAGAGTGATATAATCACCATCATCCAACTGAAACAAGTTGCAACTTCGAAGATTGACGGCGTCCAACACCATCTTTCCCACAGGCTTCGGTATAGAACCATCAACGCTTACACCCTTCTTGTCAAGAATCCAGCTCAACACCATACCATACGGTAGACTCTTTCGGTTGTGATCACGGCAGAAGACCGTATGTTGCAAAATCAAACCCGACAGATTGAACTTTACCATGTTCTTAAGGCAAAAAGCAAAGATGCATTCCAACTTTCCCAATAACCGACTTTTGTTGTTATTGGGTAACAAGCAATCTGACACCAACATAACCAAGATCCTTTGCTCCGCGGACAACCATTTCTTCTCTGGTCTCGAAGCTTGAGTGAAACCACTCGTGCGACCCAACAAATAACTCAAATAGTCCCGGTACCCCATGGTATCCGTACTAATCCACGAGTTACCACTGTACTGAGCAACACCCGAAGAAGATACTCTCAAAAGTTGAGCTAGCCTCTTTTCAGACAAAACTACTTTCACGCCTCTCACCTTAGAGGTGATTTCAAGCTTACCACCATCCTTTGTCACAACCATGTGACGATAAAATTCTTTAACCAAGCTGGGTAAGTCTCGGCCCTTATGGCAAGAAACCCATCCAACAAACCTTGAAATCTAAGCATATCCAACAAGGAACTAGAAAAGGATTCCGGGTAAAAAGCTTTACCTTCAAGAACGAGATAATGGGTATCCACCCATTCCGCTTTTCTTGCCAAACTTGACCTTCTAGGCATGATTGAAGATGACCCAAAGCTCAACAAAAATGACCCAAGGCTTCTCCTCTTTTTCTTCTTCACTCTCGCTGCCTCTCGCTCTCTCGGCGTCGCGGCAACGAAGCAGATCGGCGGCGAAGCTTCGATGGACGGCGGCTTGGGCTTGGCGACAACGGGGTGGCGACGGATTGAGGGAGGGGGGTGGTCGGCTGAACTCCACGGGTAGGAAGAGGGGAGGAAGAAAGGAAAAAGAATTTGGGAATTTAGGGATTTGGGAGAAATTGGGAAAAAGATGATTTAATTTGGGGATTTTGGGTAAAGTGAGAATTTATGGTTTAGATGGAATTAAAATTGGTTAGGTTTCAAGAAACATAATTAGCTTAAGTGGTTAGAAGGTTGGGTTGGCAAGTAATTCACTTGGGTGCAAAATTTAAAGCTTACAAATAAAAGTTCACTTATTTTTTAGGTTTCACAAGGAAGGATTTTTATGGATTTTTCATTCCAAATTCAAAGAATTATTTGGAAAGTTTTAAGTAACTCACAAGAAGGAAAGGTTACAATTGTACATGTGCAACAATTAAAGATTCAATCCGAGCATGGCTCATCTTAGGAGTGAACAACTATCCCTACAAAGGCTTGCACTTCCAACTAAAAGGATCAATCATCAAGAAGGGCTTACACTTAGGTTCAAAAGAATCATTCACCCAAGAAGAAAACAAAACAATGATAACGAGATGACTCCAGTAGACAATCAAGGAAAACAAGGCAACATACGTCAGCACAAAGAACAAGACGCGTATTAAAGACAAGGGTAGGCTAGAAAAAGGTTACCTGCTAGCTCTTCCTCCACCAAGCCCTCGGTCTCTGCCTGCGATCGTCCCATCACGAACACCCTTCCTGACTGCCTAGACCCAGCTGCTCCACGGCTCAAGCTACCTCCTGCTGCTCCTCGGGCTCCTGGGGGTGGTGGCAACGCCCTTTGGTTGGCTTGCTGAGGGCACTCGGCGACCTTGTGACCCCTGTCTCCGCAACGAAAACACCGAAACGCTTGACCATGACAGTTCTGACCAGCATGCACCTTTCCACATCTACGGCAAGGAAACATCTTGACTTGGTTTCCATGCTCCGCCCGATTGGGTCCCGGGTTTGGAGATGATGCATTCTTAACTTGAAAACTCGGCTTGGGCTTCTTGAAGCTGGAAGAGCCTCCACTCTCAGTCCTTTTTCTTGCAAGCTCATAAGATCGTCGCTGCAGCTGCTGAACACGGTACAGATCCACAGCACTCAGGTATGATTCTTTCAAAGAACTCGGCCTACTCACGGTTAGGGCCTTCCGTGCCTCGTAGTTCAAGCCAGCTACAAACTTCTCAACCTTGGTGAGCTCCGTAGGCACAAGCATCCGGGCAGAAACGCGCAAGCTCTAGGAACCTCTTGTGGTACTCAACCACTGATAGAGATCCGTGCTGGAGATGGAGGAATTCCTCGTACATCGCGGCTCGCACATACGCCAGATAAAACCTCTCGCGCATCCGATCCTTGAGAGCGATCCATCCAAACTCAGGCTCCTCAAGGCAAGCTGGGCCCTCGTGCATCCACCATAAATTGGCCTCAAGACAGAAGTAGAATGTTGCAAGTTCTACTCTTCGCTCTTCCGGACAACCGAGAACCGAGAAGATCGTGTCAAACGTCCTCATCCATTCTTCCAAGATAACCGGGTCTTCTTCGCCCGCAAAGGTTGGTGGCCTGTGTCCCAACACAAGACGCCCCATGTCCCTGTGCCTGGCAGGCTGAGGAGGTGGCAAGGGATGGTTGTTCTGCAACAAGGCTTCACTTAGGGTTGCATCGTCTGCGTCAACTGCTGGAGGTTCTGGGCAAGCTGCTCATTCGTCGGGGTCTCCGGTGTACGCGCACGAGGACGAGGAGGCATCGCAAGCTTCTACAACAACAACATGATTACCAACAAGACAACAAACAAGCAAGCAACTGTAAACAACGCTCAACTCACTGCGCATCCTAAGAAATCCTAAGCTTAACACTTAGATTCTTATGGTCACCCTAAGGTCTCAAACCACACTTAGCCACTTAAAAGTCTAGACTTTAACAACCTAGGATCAAACCTAGGCTCTGATACCAACTGTAACACCCCCTAATTTCCATGCGAAATTAAGCCTTAGACATGCAGATAACTAATCATAACATTATACACAACGGAAGACTAAACAAGGGTTATATAAATAGGAAATAAAGGGTGCTATGCCACGTCCACCCAAAGGTGAACGCACAGTCAAAACATCTGCATAATCCACAATCTAAATCCATACAGAAACAAGGGTACTAATGTCTAGCATTGGCACACAGGCCACAACAGATCAAAACAAAGGGATCTAAGCTAACAGGTTCTAGACCATGCTCTCGTCTACTCATCACCTGAAAGAAACACATAAAATAAGGGACGACGCCCGGTCAGCGAATGATGCTGGTAACCCACCAATACATGTGAAATATCATATGTAGATAGTTTATATGTATACAAAATCATTTGCGAAACGGGAAATAGTATACATCAATTTCAAAAGCCAAGATAGAGATCAACACAAGACTCTATGCACTCACAATAGAGATAAGGGAACACATCCCAAGACAACAAGAATACAACGACACTCAAGAACGGCTCAAGGCGTAATCTACCATCACACAGTAGATTATCACCCGACATGCATAACACAAGAGATTAAGGACACTATCAATGGCAACACATTGCCTTTGCAACTACACACGTCACAAATAGAGAAACACACAATAACGGCTACACAAGCCTTCGTGACATCACCCATCACGAATTGAGATGCCTTCCTTATGCCCGGTTCCAACCTTATGTCTAGTTCCAACCATTACCTCCAGGACCCCTGTACATCCAAGTCCAACCTTTTCCCTCCTGGGACCGTCGTCCCCCACCTACAAACCACCAACAAGACCACCAATTTCATAGTACACAAGGTACCGATCACACACACGGCAACACATGCCACCTAAGAAATACGTGAACCCATCACTCTGGTCACAAACTCCATAATCGCGTCATGGCCACCACGAGGACTGTAACACCCCCTTAATTTCCATGCTATTTAAAGCCTTAAACATGCAGATATCTAAACCAAAACATCAAACACAGCGGAAGACTGAAAGATGAAATATATAAACTGGAAGTATAGGGGTGCTATGCCACGCTCAGCCAAGGGTGAACGCACAGGCTAACATCTGCATTGTTCAAAATCTAGAACCAAACGTCATCAAGTACTAAGTCTAAATTGGCTCACAGGCCACAAAACATAAGGGAGGAGCTACTCTAGCTGGCACTAAACCGCGCACTCGTCTAAGCATCACCTGAAAGAAGCATATAAAACATGGGGCGACGCCTGGTCAGCGAATAATGCTGGTAACCCACCAATACATGTGCAATATCATACATAGATAAGATATAAGTTTGTAAAGCCATTTGCAAAACGGAATACATATATATAAGTTCAAAACCAAGAGTAATAGTCAACACAAGACTCAAACACTCTCAACAAGAACACGGGAACACATCCCAAGACTACAAAGAACAACAACAACTCACAAGAAGTCTCAAGGTATAATCTATCATCACACAATAGATTAATACCCGACATGCATAACTCAAAGGAATAAGGACACACCAAATGGCAACACATGCCAAGGCAACACATGCCTTTGTGACTACACACGTCACAAGAAGAGAACTCACAACAACGGCTACACAAGCCCTCGTGACATCACCCATCACGAGTTGATATGCCTTCCTTATGCCCGGTTCCAACCTTATGGCTACCCCCAACCTTATATCTAGTTCCAACCTTTACCTCCAGGACCCCAGTACAACCAAGTCCAACATTTTCCCTCCGAGGACCGTCGTCCCCATCCACCGACAAACCGCCAACAAAACCACCAATTTCATAGTACACGAGGGTACCGATCACACACACGGCAACACATGCCTCCCAAGAAATACGTGAACCTGACACACAGGTCACAACTCCATAATCACGTCATGGCCACCACGAGGACCACTGCAATACCTTGCTGACTAGTGTCTCATACCACTAATCGTGCAATCCAGGTAAAGCCACACACACCACACCACATTAGGAATCAATCAACGGATCACAACGAAGATATGCAACCATACTCAATCAAGGAATGTGTCACAGCCCAACAACAACAACGATGAATAACACAAGTTATCATCAACCAATAAGAAGGTACAAATAACATACACGCTAGCATTTAAACACCGAACTAGTATGCTTAACAAACGGGTAAACCAAACGTAGTTCCGAAGAACACACAAGACTCATCACGGTTCAACGAAACACAATGTTGAACACTTAGCACGATTCAAGACACCAAAACCTACATGGATTCCTACCATATAGTTCTAGACATACGAAACATCAAGAAGACACTCAAATAATTCCACAAAAGAACATCGGGAAGTCAAAATACCAAATACCGAGTCAAAAGAATCACAGGGAACAAATCCCAAACATACACCGAAGTGTACCCCGCAGGTGGACCCACGGGTAGCCCCTACCCGCGGTTCCGCCCGCGGGTACATACCCACAAGGCTCTTGTACTCCGCTGGTGGGCGGCGGGTGGGCCCCCTGCCCGCCGTTCCGCCCGCGGGTACACACTGTACCAAAATTAATCCCTTCGGGGATTTTCATCTCCAAGCTCAAATTCAAGTCCAAAACATGCCAGAACTCACCAAATACAACAAAATGACTTGAATCAAAGGAATAGCCCAGCAATGGCATACAAGAACCCTAAACACAAGCTCTAGATATGCATTTTCACAAGACAATGCATAAACACTCACATTTGATAGCAAAATCACATGTAGAATCCAAGAAATCATCATATAGGTAAGCCATTCCGACTGGGGGTCAGAATTTCTTCGAATATATTCTTGAATTCATTCGAGATAGAAGAATAAATCCTTTTGAAAAGGTAGTCTTGTCACTGAACTTGATCCGCCCCACCTCGGATGGCAGAGAACCCGGTATTCCACGCAAGGACCAAACATGTAGAGACTCCTGCTATGGTTTCTTGTAGTAGAGGGGAGAGCCCTAGCTTGGTCAAAATAGATTTTGTAGAGCATGGGTTACCTCTTGAAGACAAAAACCTTCTCTTAACACCTCACCAAGCTCCTAACAAAGCTCACCTTCCACACCCACTTCAAGAACACACCAAAAGATCGTAAAGATTCTATCTTTAAGAAAAGACACCTTAGAAAACACTAAAAACACAAGATGAACATGGATCTTACCCTCCTAGATGCCCAAATGTATGAATGGTAGAATCTTGGAGACAACTCTTGAAGTTTTGACAAAGCTTCAACTTGGCTTGGAAGAAAAGCTATATACCTTTTTAGAGAGAAGGTGGTGCTAGAATTTGGAAAGTGTAAGGAGAGAAATGAGGGTGTTCTACTAGGTTAGCTTACAATACTAACACAAGGTGAAAAGTCAATAATACCCTTACTAACATGAAGAGGTGTAAGGGAGCAAGGGAACTCCCTACAAAGCTCAAGGTACAACTTTGATTTGGGGTTGACTAGTCAATTACTAGTCCCCGACTATTGAATTTCCAGGATTTTAGGAATTAAACTACCAATTGAAATAGGATTAATTATTTAATTAATCCCTTAATCGAATTTGGATTTCGGGATGTCACAAGGACCACTGCCGTACCTTGGTGACTAATGTCTCATACCATTAATCGTGCAATCCAGGTACAGCCACACACACCACACCATCACAGGAATCAATCAACGGATCACAACGAAGATATGAAACCATACTCAATCAAGGAATGGATCACAGTCCAACAACAACGATGATTAACACGAGTCATCATCAATAATAGGAAGGTACAAACAACACACATGCTAGCATTTAAACACCGAACTAGCATGCTTATCAAACGGGTAAACCGAATATAGTTCCGAAGAACACACAAGACTCATCACGGTTCAACGAATCACAATGTTGAACACTTAGCACAATTCAAGACACCAAAACCTACATGGATTCCTACCATATAGTTCTAGACATACGAAACATCAAGAAGACGCTAAAATAGTTCCACAAAAGAACATCGGGAAGTCAAAAGACCAAATACCGAGTCAAAAGAATCACGGGGAACAAATCCCCAAACATGCCAACATATGTTCCCCGCGGGTGGACCCACGGGTAGCCCCCCACCCGTGGTTCCGCCCGCGGGTACACTCCTGTACACCAAAATAATCCCTTCGGGGATTTTCAACACCAAGCTCAAATTCAAGTCCAAAACATGCCAAATCTCACCAAATACAACAAAATGACTTGAATCAAAGGAATAGCCAAGCAATGGCATACAAGAACCCTAAACACAAGCTCTAGATATGCATTTTCACAAGACAATGCATCAACACTCACATTTCATAGCAAAATACATGTAGAATCCAAAAAATCATCATATAGGTAAGCAAAATAGATTTTGTAGAGCATGGGTTACCTCTTTTAGACTTATCCTTCACTTACAACACTCCACAAAGCTCCCAACAAGGTTCCCTTTCCACACCCACTTCAAGAACACAACAAAACAACATAAAGATTTCACCTTTATAAAAAGATACCTTACAAAACACTAAAAACACAATAGGAGCTTAGATCTTACCCTCCTAGATGCTCAAATGTAAGAAAGGTAGAAT